ATTGATTAGCTCAATTTATAATAAATGTTCAAAAATTCCTTCATTTGCTTCAATACAAAGATGACATCGTCGAAACATTAATTGTCTCACACGCTCGAAGACTGCAGGAATATTCTGAACCTGATATGCTGCAGCAGTAATTCGGGCTACCAATTCTGCTTCTGTTTCAATAGGTGTCTCATAAATGAGTTTTTATATGTTCCCATAAAAAAAGTCAAGCGAAGATAAATCTGGTGACAGAGGAGGCCATGCGATAGGACCTCTTTGGCCTATCCAGCGCTCATTAAATCTTTGGTCCAAGTAATTGCGCACAGTAGCATTAAAATGGGCAGATACTCCATCGTGTTGGAACTACATTTGCCTTCTTTCATGAGTCCTGACAAAACTTCCTCGAAAAAAATACGATAAATATTGCCATTCAATCGTAAAGGTAAAATGTACGACCCGATAAGGAAGTTATTGGTAATACCTGCCCATACATTAACCGTAAATCCTTCTTGATGTGATCGAATAAATGTAGCATGAGTATTATCCTCACTCCAAACGTGAGAATTGTGTGTAAATATACCTGTCCTTATAAAACTTGCTTCGTCAGTAAACAGTATTAAAGAAGAAAATTTGGGGTGTGTTTCACACTGCTGCAAATACCATCGCGCAAATTTTAAATGTCGTGGATAGTTTTCAAGTTTTAAACTTTGTACACGTTGCCGATGAAATGGATGTAATAATTGTTCATAAAGAACATTCCATATATTCATGTTACTTGTTCCAATGTTAAATGTAATTGCACGTATACTAGTGGAAGCATTGTTTTTTATTTCTGCCAAAACTTGCTCTTCAAATCGCAGAGTTCTCACTGAACGTCGTTGTCCTTGTCCATTCGATCTTCTAAAAGAACCATTCTCTCGCAAATGTCGATGAATGGATTCGAAAATGGAATGATGTGGAATGCGGCGACCAGGATATCGTCGTTGATATAATCTCTGTGCTGCCCGTTCATTGCAATTAGCTGCTCCATAAGTAAGATGCATGTCACTCAATTCAATCCAAGTATATCG